AAAGCGTACAAGAGCCAAAGTATTTCCTATATTTTGACTAAATATTCCCTAGTATTAAGCAGTATTTTTTAAAACACAATTTACAGTTGCTGAATATCAATTTACCAAAACAGGCAAGGATGACCTTATCTTGGCAAAACTCATAATACTGTTTCCTCAACATCCTAGAAGACAGCTTGATGCACCACACTCTTCCATCTGCTTTGTTCTATTTCTTCATGCCCCAAATGGAAACTAAACCTGTCCAGTAACAGCCAAAAATTCCTCAATCACAGGAAAGGACTTCAAGCACCGAGCAGAGAAGCACCATGATGTGAATCAGAGGCAGAAAGAACCACAGGTGGAAGGGCCCTGGGAGTGACCTTTGAGAGCGTGTTGAGAGAGAGAATCCACACAACAGGTGTAGGAGCTGCATTTAAGTGATTCTGTGCCCACTCACCTGAGGAGCCCTCAGTGAACACGGTTAATGTCTGTCCTCCAACACTTTGTAAGACAAATGGGTGTTCTCTAGGAGCACTGACTGAAGCCGGTTTTCCACCAATATCATGAATATTTGCAAGATCCTCATTCAAAGTAAATGAAACCTAGGAGACACATTAACGAGAGCTTATTACAATATACTTTTGTATTCAAAGTATCTGTACAGAAACTGTGACTATAAATCAAATATTTTACTGTGACTCTTTTCCAATCATTTTATGAAGCATTTTAAAAAATTTTATCAAATAAGCTTTAATAATTAGCCATAAAAAGAGAATCTATTCCTATTTGTCTGAACAATGGGGTTAACCTACCATTATAAAGATAGCTTTCAAATGTTTCCTCTGGTCTATGGCTGAAAAAATTCTATTTGTAAAATAGAAGTAACTTGTTTCCCTAAGGTATCTGCGGTCAAGGAACCATGTCTTGTTATATTTATACCCGTAAATAAATAAATATTAGGTGGATGGATGGATAGACAAACAGAACTATCCATCCATCCATTCATTCATCCACCCATCTCCAAGCAAAATGCCTGGCACATAGAAGAAAAACAGTATTTGCTGAATGAGTGAACATTTAAGTATTACAAAAGCAACTACCTGAAGCAGGGGGAAGTGATCTATTTACTCAGAAAGCTTAAATACTCCCATAAGCAGAGGATGGCTTTCTTTTTTAGATACAATGACTACCATATGAGGACACAGTGCTGTTTTACTTTCAAATATTTCAACAAATACAACTAAATATTTATAAGGAAAACTCAATATTGAGGTTTAGAATGAAAAGACCCAGTAGGTTTTTTTTGAAAGACCCAATCTTTCAAAATGCTTTTTACCATATCTCCCCAAATTTTTCATCAAAGGGATTTATAAACTTAAAGTGTTGATCTTTCAATCACACAGAAAGATTATGAAGTATTATTTAAGTATCTCTCTACTATGTGACAAGTACCACAAATTATGTCCTAGATTCAATGGGTCAAAATCTAAGGCCTTCAAAAATCTGTCAAATACATTTGCCACTCTGAAATAATGTTAGTGTTACTGAAGCAATACTAGTTTTCATAGTACTAAGAGAGGGGATATTTAAGTCAAAGTAGAAAAATGCTAAGTATGAGCAACTAGAAAGGAGCCTATTCACTCACACAAGAGTGGCATTTACACTACTATGTTTTCCTGACCAGCCACCAGTTTCATGTGGAGTTTTCCAGAGCAAACACTACCCTCTTTTTACTAATTCTAATGCACAGTAAAATAAACTTGTGTTTTAAATAAAATTTCCATAGAAATAATCTTACCTCGGTCCTTCCTTGATTTCTGAAAGAGAGGAAAGAAAACATTTCAATTATTTAATTTCATGTTTTTTCCAAATGTAAGCTAAGAACTATTAATAAAAGAAACACAACTTCATATGTACATTAAAATATTACATTTACAGAGATTAATATTTACCTATGGTTCTCCTAACTATTCTATTTATAATCCTATAGGAGAAAAAAATTCACATTAATTCCACATGAATATTTCATTTTATTTTATTTTTTGACCGCACTGCACCACACACGGGTTCTTAGTTCCCTGACCAGGGATCAACCCTGAGTCCCCTGCAGTGGAAGCATGGAGTCCTAACCACTGAACTACCAGGGAAGTCCCACCAATGAATATCTTAGATGTTATGAGCTCATGTCTCTTAACACTGTAACAACCTGCCCTAATAATATTTTAGCCAAATAATGATCTTATTACAATTCTTATTTTAATTCTTGAGTATTTTTAGCATTTAGCAGCATGTGAATGGCATGTTTAATACCAGATATAGAGAACTTCAACAAATTTTACTATTTTGTCCAGCTGAAGAAGTTTCATTTACTTAACAAAATCTTAAAGATCAAAAGTTTTTATTTTAAAATTATAAGCAATCTTCTCTATTAAATAATATGCTCATACAGAAATAATTTTATTACAGACAAGCCAAAAAAATGTTTAAATTAGCCAAGATTCTACTGCTAACATCTTCTACCATCAGCCACAGTAAACATCCCTCTATACTATTTCTATAATCTGTTTTCCATCTCTGGGTGCGCCGAGTCTCCCGTGTTGCATACAGGCTTTCTCTAGCTGCAGGGAGCAGGGGCTGCTCTCTAGCTGTGGTGTGCAGAGTGTCTCAGTGAGCGGCTTCCCTTGCTGCATGGCACAGGCTCCAGGTAAGTGGGCGTCAGCAGCTGCAGCATGCGGCCTCAGTAGGGGCGGCTCACTGGCTCAGCTGCGCCTCAGCATGTGGGATCTGCCTGGGCCAGGGATTGAACCTGTGTCCCCTGCATTGGCAGGCAGACTCCTATCCACTGTATCACCAGAGAAGTCCCATACTATTTTTTATTTATTTGAATTACATGTTTTAAAATTGTTTTTTACCAATACAGCATCAATGTACCCCCTAATAATAGCCTAATTTTTAAAAAAATGTATTAAATACCTGTCATATGCAAAGTACTGAGTGCAGGGCCCCTTTCCCAGCCAGCAGAAGATATAAAAGCTAAACCCATAACCATAAAATGAGATAAACTTTAATTAAGAGAGCCACAATATGCCAGGATCAGACAGGAGAACACTATCTCTTCTATTTTAAGAGGGAAGTATTGGCTCAGCAAGAGGCAACTTTTGAACTAGTATCAAAAGTAAACAGCTAAGCAAAGTTATGGAAGAGTCTGATCAGAAAAATGTGATCAGAGTGGGCTGGGAGGGAAAGTACAAAATAAGGAATAGTGGGAGATGAACTATAAAGGAAAAATGGGACCAGACCATAAAAGATCTTGAATATCACAGCACAGAGCACAGACTTTATTCTTTAGGCAATGGAACGCTACAAAAGTATAACAAGTACAAAGTTCATAACAAGTACCATATTCAAAGTTCCTCCAAATCTAACATCTACATTCAAACTTAAAGGGTTAAACTCCCTAAGCTCACACGAGGTATTTATTAGCTGATGATCAATCACTGAGTTTGCTGAGCGATTAAGAACAAAAGTATAACAAGGACAAAGACATGATCCAAGAAACTTATACCAAAAAATACACATAGAATAGACACGAAGACTAGTTAGGAAAGTACTTTCTCAGCAACACTGGTTGAGTTCCAACCTGTGCCTTCCTTCAGTGGTTCATTCATTCACCGGCACTCAGGGTTTGCTGCACACCCACAGCCTTGTGACAAGTGCACGGCGTGAGTGCAGGTCTTCATCCTCAAGGTCTCAGTTTAATGGGAAAGCAAAAACAAAAACAGTCCCAATCCATGGACAGTTACAAACAGGATTTTATAACTGTAACAGGATTCCCAGATGTAAGGAAAACTAGAGAGACCTGACAACAGGAGGTAATGCCAGATTGTGAACTGGATCCTTTTGCTGTAAAACATCACTGAGACAACTGGCAAACCTTAAGTGAGGTCTGATGATTAGGTAGTAGTACTATTTGGTTGGTAATTCATAGATTTGTAAGGGTGAACTGTGACTGCGAAAGAGAATGCCCTTGTCAGAAAGTAGTTCTTTATTTCCCCCAGTGAGGTATATACTTTAACACATTCTGAATTTAAGAGATATATCCCTAAGGGAAACCTTAGTGCTTTCTTTTAGAGATTTAAATATTTATTAAAATTAATAACAAAAATGAAACAGTTAATGTGGCTTTTGATATTTCTAACTTTATAAAGATATCCTGTTAATATCAATGTATGATACATTAGAAAACAGGAAATTATTCAAATTACATTCCTGAAAAGTCACAGGATGCTGTGTTACACGGATCTATATGGTGGAAAAGTTCTTTATATTGTTCTTCCAACTTTTCTGCGGCTTCAGACTATTTCAAATTAAAAATATTAAACAATTTAAAAATGTCCCCAGTTTACTTAATCCCTTACTAAGAAATTTGAGAATACTACTCATTTTCCTCCATAACAAACAATGCTGAAACGATTATCTTTGTGTATCAATCTCTGCATCACTAACTTGTTATTCTGACAGGGTAGGTTTTNCCACAGTCCCTTCAAATGTTCCTCACAGGAAATTGATTTTAGTTTTCTCACTGTCCTAGTCTCACTCCACTGAATGAACTTATTTGTTCACGTCTCTAAGTGGGGCACTGAAAATGGAACACAATGTTTGCCCTGTAAGCTAACTGACAAAGAAGAGGGGTTATCATCCCACTTCACTCGAAACAACAACCGTCCAATAAATGAAGCCTTTTGTTTACAGCCACAAAACTTTGATGACTCATATTTAGCTGAAATTAAGTCTTGATAACCTAGTCACATGCACTGCTAAGCCATTCCTTGCTTATCCTACACATATTTAATAGTGACTCTAGTAATCAGTAAGAAGAATGAAAAATAAGTACATTAGAAACATAAATGAGATAGTTAGGAGACATACTCCAGAACAAGCTCTTTTCAAGGATTTCTACAGCAATCTTGGGGAACCAATCACTATATATCTGTTCTCATCATTAACAGCATCTAAGCTCTTCTACAAGGCAAGATTATATTTCACGTTAGGTGGAGAATCTGCTAGGTTTTTAGTTTACATATAAAATTCACATACATCTGTTATTATTAAGGGCAAGTGTGTGTTAATTTCTCAGTTGTGTCCAACTCTTTGTGACCCCATGGACTATAGCCTGCCAGGCTCCTCTGTCTATGGGATTCTCCTGGCAAGAATACTGGAGTGGGTTGCTACTTTTTGCTCCAGGGGATCTTCTCGACCCAGGGACCAGGTCTCCTGCATTGCAGGCAGATTCTCTACCGACTGAGCCAGCAGAGCAGTTACATACAATTTATTGCCAGAACCAGGATACTCTGGGAGTGAGAGAGGGGACACTATTAATAACCACACAGAAAACTACGTAAACTGTAAAGCATGTAAACTGGCCATAACATGGGGACATGGCTACCCTAGGCATACTGGATGTGACTATATAAAAGACCTGCTTTAAACTAAGGACGGGTTTGAAATTTTTTCCAAAGAGTGATCAAGAAAAATCACAGCATACCCATTATTGACTATTTAGCATGCTATCTTTAACAGATGCTTTAGGCATCAAAGCAGTACTTAGGGCTTGCATAGGCTTCCCCTGTGGCTCAGCTGGTAAAGAAACCACTTGCAATGTGAGAGACCTGGGTTTGATCCTGGGTTGGGAAGATCCCCTGGAGAAGGGAAAGGCTACCCACTCCAGTGTTCTGGCCTGGAGAAGTCCACGGGGTCACAAAGAGTTGGACATGACTGAGTGACTTACACTTTCACTTTCAGGGCTTACATAGGTCTCCCTACACCTCAGCTCCTTTGACTCTATTTCCCATACTAGCTTCCTCTTACACCAAAAGAAAGACTGTACAATCCTAAACTAGGTATTTTCCGTACACAGAGATTTTCAGGAATGCAATTTTCATGGCAGGGAAAGGAAGGGAATTTAAGCTCAGAAGATTAAGTGTCTGTCCACAGTCTCATGGAGAGTAACTGACAGGGCCAGAACTGGAAGCTGCTTGAGTTTTCTTACCACTCAAAGGACTGATTTCAAGGCTGGTTCTGCTATTAAATGTGTAGTAGCGTCTTTTAAGATACTACCGGTCTCTACCTAATTTCAGAACTCTGGATATAAAAGCAGGCCTGTTTCCAATATGGCTTATGAAAACAAAAGGAAGAACTAAAAGATCTGTCTGAAACAAAGGTAAGTAAGATAAAGAACAAAAAGTACTTAGGGGCATAAACACAACAAAAGTGTCAAAGTTTCTTACTTTAAAGACATGATGTCATCCAAGAACAGAGCGTTGCTCCTCCAAAGAACACCTCCAGAGGGTGTTCAAATAACATTCAGAGACTGAGAAGATAAGTGATGTCTCAGAAGTGAGATGAAAAAAGTACAGTGTGAGGGCAGAAGTGATCAACGCTGTCAAGTTACGTAGAAGGTCAGCCAAGAAGAGCTGCTAGTTGAGTCTTAGATTTTAGAATATGGATACGGTGCTTGCGCTCCAGTCGTGTCCGACTCTGGCACCCCATGGACTGTAGCCCACCAGGCTCCTCTGTCCATGGGATTCTCCAGGCAAGAATACTGGAGTGGGTTGCCATTTCCTTCTCCAAGGGATCTTCCTAACCCAGGGATCAAACTCGTGTCTCTTACATCTCCTCCACTGCAGGCAGATTCTTTACCACTGAGCCACCAGGGAAACCCATGAATGTGGTAGATTGTTTTGTTTTGTTTTTTAAAAAAGGCTACAAATTCTTTACCGCAAATCCCACCTGGAGGTGGAGTCTACTGCAAGCTACATTTGGCACACATGATGCAAGCACAAGTTTGCAAAGTGTTTGTGCAGTGGGGTTTCCCTCTCTTTTGCTACTAGGAACTCTTTCACCATTACTGCCCTGGCTGATAGTAAGCCAACCCCAGGCACACAAGTAAGACCATTCTAGCCAGGAAGACCAGCCCGGTCAGCCACAACAAGAACCGTCTAAGAACTGCCCCCACAGAATTAAAAACAAATAAAATGGTTTTGTTCTAAGCCACTAAACTTTGGGGTGGTCTGTTAACAAGCAAAAACTCAGTGATAGATACTGGTGGTAGATAAGAGCTATTTCAGTGGAGTAGTGGGCGCGGATATCTGATTAGAGTTGGACTATGAATGAATGGGCAGAAAGAAAGGAATGCAAGGCCTGTGGCTGACACCAGCTGAGCTACAAGGGCTTCCCTTTCAAACAAGGCCAGTTCCTCAACCAGGAAACACCAAGCACTCTTGCGCCGTTTGAGAGGTATGCCCTGCCCCCTTCCAAAGCCTCTATAAATAGGTATGGTGGCACAGCGGCAAAATCCCTCTACTGAAGCACTTGGTGCATCCAGCTATGGCCAACTCAAGCATACCTCCTCAAAGACGCAGAGGACGAACGGATGAGAGAACTACATACTCTGCTACTTTACTGCCAATAGGTTTTAGCAGCAAATTGTACCTGATATTTACACCTGTCGTCAGAGGAGTGTGTGTGTGTACACGCATGCACACACACACATTCCTCTGACGACAGGTGTAAATATCAAGTACAATTTGCTTACAGGGCACCTAACCAGCTCTTAACAAGCCTTGGCAAGCTCATCATTTCTTATTTTCCAGATAAATTCTCTGTTTGAAAAAGAACTCTGTAATTACATTTAAAAGCACTTGGAAAATAAATTCAAACAAGTTTCATAAAATGTCAAAAATTCATAAATAACTTACTTGGCAATCCTCAGCTTCCCAACTTCACCTCTTCCAGGGGCTTTAGCCCATTGCTGCGACAAATATTTAGGAACCTAAAACAAAACAAAACACTATTAAACTAGATTTTGGATGCAAACAAGCTAACAAATCCTTTTAAGCATAAAGTGATATACAGCTTCTATTTTAGTTTCTGTCCGTCATAACTGACCACTAAATAGCAAGCTCTGATTATATGTTTTGCACTGAAGAGATACTAAGATATGTAAGAAATGATTTTAGCTCTCAAAGTGTTTAACACCAATTGAGTTGGTGACACAAAAGTAAAACTGGTCATATAGCTGAACAATAATGAAGTGCTAATTTATGTCCCCAAGAAAGTTTAATAAAAGTTCAGAGATGAGAAAAGCTACCAGAAAAGGCTTCTTGGAGAATAACACTGACACATTATGTAGAGACACTAATGAGTTTAAGATGGTTTGAAAAGTCATGTTTTGTTACATGTAAGATAACTAATTTGATGAAGGATCTGCTGAAATAAATTATTCAATGTAACAACTAGCACTTATATAACACTACTTTCCTGACACTGTGATATGCACTTTTCAAACATTTATACCTCACATCTATATGAGGTAGGCACTGTTCATTATCCCCACTGCACAGACTATGCATTTGGAGCACCCAGGGATTATAAAATTTAGCCAAGGGTATAAAATTGGCAAATGAGGACCCAGGATTCAAATCCAGGCACTCTAGTTCCAATGCCTATGCTTTTAACCAATACACTATATTGTGTGTGCAACCAGATATATGCAATCAAAATCTCAAAAGGTTAAGAGCATACAACCACTATGGGCCATCTGTGATTTCCTCTAAGACACAGCTGGAGCTTGGGAATCAGCGCACACATTTAAGGTGACCCTGTCCTGGAGGAGTGAGATGCTGCACATGAAGTGTGAAGCGCGACGCCTCACACAAACCAAGGGCTGAGCGTCAGGTGCCGTTTTACTTTCCACAGTAAGTCTGGAATCATAGCATGAATGTATAACAGAGTCAAAGAGAGCTTCCAAAGCTGGAAAGGAAAACATTCTAACAAAGTTTCATTTACAAGAAGAACCACATGACTATTAGTTGAACTGCAGTGCTTTGAATCAAGTAAAAATTTAAGAAAAGAAGACCCTAATGGTGTTTGTTCATTCCTTACACTAAAATAAATTGAAAAACTACTGTGTCAAAAATATGCCAGAAGGCTGGAAAAGACACAGGGGAAGGGAGCCCAAAGTGTCAGGCACCACGCTGTACATTTTGCACCCACAATCCCATTTAATCCTCCCAATCACCCCGCAAAACTGCTAACGCTCTCCTCATTCTGTAGATAAGAAAACTGAGGCTCAGAGGATTGAAATAACATGGTTAGCTAGTATCAGTCAAAGACTCCAGACTGGTCAAATGCTCTCTTTGTACACCATCCTTTACATACTATAGATCCTCTAAAGGAAAAGGAGTTTTGAAGATTCCATATCTTAAAGTTTCAACTATACTGTGCTTCACTATTCATGCAAGCTTACAGGATTTGGCAAATTTCTTTTGATAACTGTACCTACCTATTAGGTCTGCTTTGATTACAGATGAGAAGAAAACCCACTCAGGCATACAGAAGATTTATTGGCAAAAGTAACTAAATATTCCACAAGTAGTGTTAAGGGCTCAAATACCGTCAAAAGGACTCTCACCATCTCTCATCTCTCCTCACCACACTGACATTTCTGTGACAGCCTTCCCCCGTATGCAGCGCAACGGCTGAAGCCACTCCTGAAGAAGAGTTCTTCCCCAAATCCCCAGCAAAATCGTTTTTCTCTTGTGGCTCTGACCAGGTCACGGGTTCTTCGTCTGGCCTGTTACTGAACCAGAGATGAGAGCCCTGCACTGCCAGCCTGAGCCAGTGACACCTTTGGGGAGGGAGAGTCAACACCCTTCGGATCACCAGAATGAAGAGGGGGAGCGGTGGTGCCCACAAAGGAAACTCAAGGTGCTGTCACGGTGAGTCAAAGAAGCAAAGGTCAACAGTACCTGTCGGAACTAAATGCAAGATGTGAAACTGATCTGGGCAAATACTGTTACATCAAATAAAACCCTGAATCCTCAGACTATGTAAATTATTACCTCATGGCCGCAATCTTGAAATCCTGCCTAACACGTTAGCCTTTGCTTCTGGCTTTGTCTGATTTTTAGCCCAAGGGAATCTTCTTATCAATTACTCTAACACAAAGAGGAAGTGGAGTACTACAGATAGCAGCCTGCTCTAACAATCAATTGCGAGCTACGCTTCCCAATAAAGTCCTTAGGGGAAAGATGGTGTATTTTCTACATTATATTCCAAGTATCTGATTCAAATACTGTTAAGACGTTCTCATTGACAAGAACATTACCCTTTCCATAAAGTGTATTTCAAGGAACCGTTCTGACCACCGTCTCCTAACTCTCTGGCCCTCTCCTCGGTACCTCAGCTCCAACAGTTCTTCCATCCTTCACATCACTGACTCTGTCCCCATCTGCTCATGTCCTCCCTTCTCTCTTTGATGGAACTACATTTCACATCCCGTCATTATAATCATTCTCTTGTCCCTAACTCCTACCATCATACTGGCCTGGCAGAACCTAACCCTGATTAAAGCCAAGTGATACTAGTAATATTGCTTATCTTATTAATTAATCTATGTATTGTTTTATTTGATTGTGTTATTCCTCCTCCACACTTGCACCTGAGCATCTGAAGAAAAACAACCATGCTAAATGGTCTCCCCTGAAATCCTTGGTGACAACATCAAGTAAGCCCTTCAAGATGCTGGGCAATCTAACTCCCTCTCCCCGGTCAGCTGTCACCTGCAGCGGGAAAACCACCGCAGACGGGCCACACGTCCGCATCACTCCTCAACCCTGTGACACCTCTTGCTCCCTCTGCCCCTCGAGAGGATAACCCAACTTCCTCTTCCACTGAACCATCAGAAGAAAGCTTCTAGGTCTACCGCTTAGCCACAGGGGAGCCTTCTACTCGGCTCTCTCTCTTCACAGATGAACTGTGGCCACTCCCTCCACATGCGCACTGCATTTTTGCCTACAGTCTAACCTAGGACATCGTTCCTTCCATGCTACCCTTTCTCCCCTCCACTCCCTTCTTTATTCTCCCAACAGAATAACAATGATGATGTGTGTGTGTTAGTGGCTCAGTCATGTCCAACTCTTTGCGACCCCAAGTCCACGACTACTCTGTCCATGGAATTCTCCAGGCAAGAATATTGGAGTGGGCTGCCATTCCCTTCTCCAGGGGATCTTCCTGACCCAGGGACTAAACCCAGGTCTCCCACACTGCAGGCAAACTCTACCATCTGAACCACCAGGGAAGCCCAAAGTGAAAGTGTTAGTTGCTCAGTGGTATCTGACTCTTTGCAATCCCATGGACTATATGTAGCTTTCCAAGCTTCCCTGATCATGGAATTCTCCAAGAAAGAACACGTGGGTGGGTAGCCATTCCCTTCTCCTGGAAAATCTCCCTGACCCAGGGATCGAACCTAAGCCTCCTGCATTGCAGGCAGATTCTTTACTGTCTGAGCCGCCAGGGAACAGAGAGCTTACCAAGAGTGGCAGAAGACCCTAAGATGGCCTCAATGAGCCCACCCGCTGATACTTGCACCTTTGTGTAGCACCCTGACTGCATCTGCCCAACTAAGCCACGCCAGGGAACTCCCGAACCACAGAAACTATGATATCAAAAGTGTGCGCTATTTTATGCTACTAAGCCTGTGGTGATAGGTTATATAGCAATAGGTAACAAACACATTGACAAACTCTCTTTTAAATGTTTAAAATATATTAACCATTTAATACTCACACAATCCGTTTATTTTTTCCTTTTTACAAGTGAGGAAACTGAGGCACAGGGAAGTGAGCAAATGGACTCGCAGTCACACCCCTGGGAAGGGCAGGCTCCTTAATCCTTCCCACCCCCCATCCCGTGTCTCTGCCTCTCTCCACCTCGAGGCTCTGAGTGAGCTGTCTCTGCTGGCTGACCACAGTTCCTCCTCTGCCGCTGTCTTCTGCTCTAGGCAGGCTCTCACCTCCACCACTCCACTGACACCGCTGCCCATGGTTACAAAAGCTCTCCGCAATGTCAAGCCAACGTTCAGTCCTCATCTTGCAGACCTATCAGAAATAACTGAGAATCTATTGTCTCCCCCTTCTTCAAACGCTTTCTTCACTTGGCGTCCGGTCACCACAGCCTCTCTTGATTTTCCTCCCACTTCTCCAGACTCTCCTTTTTTGGCCTCCACACATCTAGATTCTCATCTTCCTGACCTTTTAACCTGAGAGGGCGCTGATTTCCATCCTCAAGCCTCTCCTCTTCAAAGTCATCCCAAGACTTTAGATATCATCTGGGTAACTACAACTCCCAAATTTACAGCTCTCCCCTCAAGTCCCAAATTATACAACCAGCTGCTTACTCAAACTCTCCATCTGCATATTCAGGAGACATTTCAAACTCAAAATCTCCACTCAAGAACTGATTTTTACTCATGAACCTATTCCCCCTGCAACCTTCCATAACGCAGTAAAAGTCAACTCCATCCTTTCAGGTACTCAGTCTGAAACCATGGACTTAACCTGAATAGCTCCTTTTTCTCACATTCTGACACAGCCTGTCAGCAATACCTTCAAATTATATCTGACTCCACGTCCTTCTCACCAACTCCAGGGCTACCATCCTAATCCAAGCCCCCATCAGCTCTTGTACGATTACTGTCCATGTCCACTTTAGTCTCAATACAGTAGCCAAAGTGACCATATTAAAACAGAAGTCAGATGACACTGTTCTGCTCAAAGCCTTTCAGTTAATTTAACAGTCATCTACATAGTGCTTACTATGTGCCATATACTTTTCTAAGCACTTTAAAACTTTACCTCACTTGATCCTCATAACAACTTTATTATTATCCCATTTCACAGAGAAGCAAGTAAGGCACCAAAAAGTTATCATTCATCCAAAGTCTCACAATTACTAGTGGTGAAGCCAGGATTCTAACCGAGGCAGTCCGGC